GGAACTCAGGGCACTTTGGGCAGAGTGATTTCGTCCCAGCGCTTCTGGCAGAGAGAGAGAGGACCCCTTCGGCTCCTATCTCAGCTGCTATCAGCCTTCGGTACCTCTTCCGTGCTGCTCCACTAAGCTTATAAGGCCTAGTGAACTTTTTCTTTTCCCCTCCCTGGTTCGTTTCCGGTTGTGGTTCGGCTGCAGACGTGCCCTTCCCTTCTCGGCTCGTCCCAGGTTGGGGCGTAGGGTTGCAGGGTGTTTGTGAGGCTAAAAGAGCCTCTTCCAGTTAGTTTCATTAAAGGAGAGTTTATCTTTTCAAAATGTCGATCTTCTTACATTTTGTTCCCACGAGTAGCTAGCAGAGCCCCGTATGCCGGGGCTAAAATACTACCCGAACCGCCCTGGTCTCGGGTAGGCACCGTTTGTGACTGGGCTCCCCCCCAGCCACGCATCCATCGGCACGGTACGCTTAACACCTTGCATTGGGTTAAGATAGGAAAAGGGGGTGGGATGAAAATAAATAGAATGGGGATCGTTTGAGTGTTTTTGTTCTGTATGTTTCCTATTGAACCAGACCAAATAACAGGCGGCAACCACGTGACGGAAGAACTCCTCAGACTTGCCCCGGGGATCAACACGACCTGCACTCTCCCCCAGAGCCATTCACCAAACTGCTCGCCGGACATGAGAGCAGAATAGGTGTTAATCTAGTCTTACTGATAATGTAAAAATGTGAGAATTAGGAGTAGACTAACCCCCGCCCTAAAAATAAATCAGCTTTTATACACGGTCCATATTGTTGTACAACCCGCCAAGATCATGCACGATGCACGACGCAAAACGACAATGAATAGGCTTGACGTACGTCAATAGTTACGTAAAGAGAACATATGACAACCACTATTTCGCACTAGGGGTAATTAGGAACCTTGTGCACAATCCGTCAATGACCTGTCAGGTCATTACTGTCTCGGTCTGCTAAGCACGCCTAGCTTTTTAAAGCTGGAGACCGGGAAACTGCACGTCACTGAATATGTCGACGCCGACAAAAGCTCGACTTCAGACAAAAGTTTGTTCCGGTACTGGACGACGTTTTCCCGAGAAATATTGGCACGGCCAGCGTACAGAGCATCACCAGTGCTGTCATCCGCATAGCAATGAATGTTACCGGTTCGCAAGATATCATTGATATGCAAAAGAAACAGCGTTGGTGATAGCACGCAGCCTTGTATAATACCGGCATTAATAGGCTTTTATTCGGAGCATGCACCGTCTACAACGATCTTAATGCTCCGATCTGCAAGAAAGCTGGTGATCCAATTGTACAATTTCTCGGGAAGCGCATAGGAAGGGAGCTTCGAAAGAAGCGCTTTGTGCCAAACCCGATCGAAATTTTCTGCTGCTTTGGTTGATTTGGACATAATGCCTGCTCCTTGGGCTTTACTGCCTCCGCCCATCTATAAACACACGTCCTCAGCACAATTGGGGGATTACGTCAGGCCCACTCGACTTGTGGATGTCCAGGGAGAGGAGGGCTTTGCGAACCGAGCGCTGTGTGAACCCCACATCCAGCATAGAGCACTCACACCGACGTACGGTTGGCGGTGTGTTCCTCTCGTCATCAGTCAAGTTGGACGCAAAGAAAGAGCCTAGTAGATCAGCTTTCTCCTTTGCGACATGGGTCAGTGAGTCATCCTCCTTGTGCGGACATGGAAGAGATGGCTGCCAGAAGTTTCCTTGGTCAGCCTTGGCAAGAGATCAGAATGCACGGGTTTCCGAAGGAAGGCAAAGTAGTTTCTAGAAAAAACTGCCTACGTGCTTTGACTTTGTCGTGGCAATGAATCTTTTGAAGGACCTGGAGGCGGAATTATACTTATTTTTAAGGGCGGTGGTGTTTACATCCCGGGATGTTGATGCGTCAGCCCAGGCCCGTTAGCACTTCTGCTTGTAACGTGATACTATTTTACAGCAGCGACTATACCGTGGATCTACCTCCAATGGGCACCACAGAGGAAGGAATAAAAAGTTCCATACCCTGAAGTACCACATCAGCAACAGAGTTAGCAATAACGTTGGGATCGTTCAGCGAGAAGCAAATCCCAAGGGTAGGGTGTAAAGAAAGACCGCATCCCATCCCAGTCGGCCGAACTATATTGCCAAACATGGCGGCAGCCTGCAGAAAGCAACCGTGATTTCAGCGTGAGTGGCACCACACTCCGGACTAGACAATCGTCCGAGGAGATAAGAGAGGCGTCGACGGAGACCTGATATCTGTCGATTAAACGTGAACCGAGCCATTCGGCGTGGTGGGCGTTAAAATCGCCAAGTATCACGATCTCTGTGGATAGGACCTGTCGTAGCAAGGAATCTGTAGTCATTTGGACGTGGTCGACGAGTCGGTCTATTTCGGCTGTTAGTTCAAACTTGCAACGATTTTTTCACATGCTTACGGACTTCGTTTTTAAAATCAAACTTGGGAGCTTTTTAATGACGAGAAGGATATCATTCCAGAGTCTGATGGCCGTGAGGGCGAAGGAATGAGATACGACGGGACGTTTTTAAATTCGCGGAATGGGTAGGTAGGTAATAAGTGGGCACGTCGCTGAATTACGTGCTTATTGAGCAACTCATTATTTGTATAAATACCGGGTTATATTGTAATTAGATCACAAGTCTTTGAGTTATCGTCAACTAAACAAGTCAGTCGGGAAGAAATTGTGAAATATGGTGAAAATAGAGTTCCGTGCCGTTATAAAGTTTCTTACCAAGCGGGGAAAATCAGTTCAGACTATACTGGAAGAGATGTCATCCATTTACGGAGACTCAGTAAAATTATGGTTTACAAGCGGCATACCCTTTTTTAAAAAGGCAGAGAGTCACTTGAAGACGACCCACGGCCAGGAAGGCCGATCGAGGTGACCACTTCGGAAATTATTCAAAAAGTCGAAAAATTTATATTAAAAGATGCCCGCCTAAAAAAAAACAGCTCGCAGAAATGGTTGGAGTTGGACCATTTTGACATGACTAAAGTCAGCGCAAGATGGGTGCCTAGAATGCTCATGCCGCCTCAAAAGCAACGGCGCGTGGAGTGTTCTCGTGCATTTTGGATTACAGAGGTATGGTAGACAAAGATGGAGTGTTGGCTCGAATCGTTACTGGTGACAAAACTTGGCTTCACCATTATGAACCTGAGTCCAATCAGGACTCTATGCAGTAGCACAAAAAAGGCACACCACCACCCAAGATATTTAAGGTGGCACAATCCGCTGGGAAAATCATGGCGACAGTCTTTTGGGACTCAGAAGGAATCCTATTGATTAATTATAAAGATAAAGGTATCTCCATAACCGGAAATTACTACGCTTCAATCTTAGACCAATTCAAGGAAGCCATAAAGGAGAAAAGAAGGGGAAAATTGACCAAAGGAATCCTTCTTCTGCACGACAATGCGCCTGTTGTGTGCCATGTTGCGATGGCTTCCCTGCAGAAGGTGGGCTTCGAAATTTTGCCACACCCACCCTATAGTCCTGGCCTGGCCCCCAGTGATTATTATCTATTTCCAAACTTAAAAAAAAACTTTGTGGGAAAACGTTTTAAGTGATGAAGAAGTGAAGGAAGCAGTTTCGGCGTATTTTTTAGACAAAGACAAATCATTTTTTTGAGGGTATACTTAAGTTAATTGAAAGATCCGAAAATGTATTAGGGTGGCAGGTGAATATATTGAAAAGGAAAAACAAATTTGGATTTTTGTTTCCACTCCTTACCCCCATTCCGTGAATTTAAAAACGCACCCTCGTAAGTAACCAGTACGGTGTACAGGAGTGAGCCAAATAAAATTATCTGAAGAATGGAGTGAAACAAGTATGGGAATCTTCCAGGTATTGAAATTTAAGTTTCAGATACTCGGGAGCACATGGGTCGTTCAAAATTGAGAAAAGGGTGCAGAGTATTCTAATATATCTGCGTTGACGGATAGGCAGCCAATTTAGCTGAGTACGAAAAGAAGATACATGCTGATATATACGAAGACCATAAATGCATCTGATACAGTTGTTAAGCAGACGATCCAATGTATTAAGATGATATTGAGATAGGTCTGGGTAACACACATCAACATAATTAATAATTGGTAAAATAAGTGACTACACAAATAGGATGTTAGTATTGGTGGGAAGAGTGTATTTTAATCGATACAGAACTCGCAAAGTTCCAGTAGTTTAGCGACTCAACTCCTGTATATGTTGGTTCCATGTTAAGCAACCATCAACATACAGATCGAGATTCTTTACATTCTTTGCATGAGGAGAGAATGCTATGACATTATCATTAAACATAATTGATAATAGGGTGGGAATATCTAATTTAGATAAGAATCTAGAGCTACCTAAAATTATCAATTGGCATTCCGACGGATTGACGTATACATATACGCCATCCATACACCGTGAACCATTCAGAGATGTGTTTCAATATCATTTAATAATGAGATTGCATTAATGCTATTTGAAGGTTCCACTTGCGCATATAACTGCAGATAATCGGCATTCAGATAGTACGTAATAATAATGTAATCGGCAGTAAATAGCACTTAAGATTTAATGTGATGTGTCAGTGTGGCCACCACTGAATACCAAGATTAGTTTCTCAGCTTGTTCTTAAATTGCCTGTTTTATCGTTTAAAGCGGAATGCACCGGTGGGAGCACTGATGCTTTGTCCCAGAAATGAATGACTATGGTGCGACCAACCCTGATGGAGTTATTAAAAAAGAACACCACTACACAATAAGTATACACACTGTGTAATATTGTGATATATTATATTAAGTGTCGAATGTATTTTAAAATACGCATAATGCAATGACTATTGTATGTAAATCAGATGTTGTACGCCGATAGCGTTCTACAGTAAATTCATTGAATAGAAATATCTAAGCCGCGTAGATTTCACATTAAATATGATTGATTTTTTCTAGAAAAATAATATTTACATTGACGTTAAAATTATTGTTATGGAAGAAATAACTAACGATAACAATAGGGTTATTGAAGAAGGCATTGATAGCGATGAAAATGATTTAAGTTATAATTTTATAAATATTTCTTGGGATGACCGTTCAAAAAGAAGTAAAGTAGCAATGCTATTATTTTTAATAGCGATATTTTTTTCTATAATGGCTTTAGTCATTAATAATTTCGTTGTTCATTATAAAAACTTTAACTTCGACGAATTCTTCAATAGAGGAGAAATAAATTGCAATCTCGTTAAAGTAGATGAATATCGCTATGCAGCCAGAATTCATTCTGTGTCATCTCGCGAGTTGATATGTGTGGGTGCAGTGATAAATGAAAATTCAGTTCTGGCAAACGAAGTGTGCCTGAAATCTGGACCTGTACGTTTACACGTTGGGAGTCCTACAGAGTACAGTATTTTCTTCTATTTATTTGTTTCGTTACTTACCTTTCTGTTTTTTCATCTGTTCTTTTCATTTTAATTTTATTTTAATCCTTTCACAGAAAGATCTCTTATATCCCAACAATTTATTTTGTCGTAAGTTAAAGTAAAATATGCTCGTATAACAATCAGTATATATTTTACTAATAATATTTTACTATGATGTTAATAAATATGTATTCATTAATTCATTAAGTTATTACAGCCTCTTAAAGTAGACTGCTGAACACCGACCTCCCCTATCGATTGTCTCATAGGGGAGATATTTGCCGTAGTTAGTTGCCAAAGGTTGACAGACGGGTTAGCACCCGCAGTTTTTATAATGTTGAGTTGTAATCAGGACGACGCTGCTGTCCATCTTCTGTTTCATTTCCCTCTGCCATCTCTGTCTCACAGCAGTTCCTTATTTTCTTGAGCTAGTTTGATTGGATTTATTACATGAATTTAAAACTAATTTTATTTTGTTTTAAATTTAGTCAGCGTTGTAAAAAAGGATTTCCGGTGGACGCTGTCGAGTTAATACCACACGATGGGGTTATATCGAAAAATCTAGTGCTTTTAATGACATATAAGAAAATTATTCAGTGTGTGAGTATCATAAAAATCGGTGTAAAAATGGATTGGCATGTGCCTGCTTATGTCATCGGACGTCCATTTCATGGTGAAAGGTCCTTGTCCCGTCAGCTTGTCACCTTAAATGTTCACGATAACAATACTTACAATGGCCAGTTGGTTAACAATTTGCGTAACAACAAAGTGATTTGCGTGAAATACCTTTCACGCTGCCCAGTGAGAGCGGGCGATCTATTAGTGCAGAAGGGCCGTCTATTGGGCTTAGCTTCCACGAGCACACAACGGAGAGAAAATAATAAGCTTGCGTGTTTTGCCAATGTTAGTAATGTTCACGAAGAGTTGAAGCAGCTGGATGTAAACATTGATTTAAATAAATGAATTGGTAAAAAAAGTTGTGTTATATGTTTATAAAATTTTGTTTTTTTTATTTATGACATGCTTGGTACCTTGGTAGTGAAGGATCGTGAGGAAATCAAACAGAAATTTAAAATAATCAAGCAAGAGTAGCACAGCGGACTCTTCCTAGCTACAAAACCCTTTCAGAAATAAGACGAGGCCTGTGCTCAGCAGTGGAATATGAGAAGGCGTATTTACGTACGACGTGGGAAAGCAATTTTGCTGTAAGTAGACGAAGTATCAAAAATTACTTCTTATAACTGTGGGTCCAGTTTTCCACGACGAAAAAATGACGCCTGTGTTTCTATTTTTCATTTTAAGTGCTGTGTGTAGGCCAAAATTAGGTAATTTATTATTTTTTATGCAAAAAAAAAACATTGCAATTTGGTGAAACATCTTATGGTGCCTTTCCATGCTTGCCAAGCCTTGGCAAACGTCTTCAAGCCTCGTTTGGCGTTTGGGAGTCGTTTTCATGCTTGTGAATTCGTCAGTGTGCTACGTACACCCAAGCATGACAGACATTTGCATTTGTTTTAACATACTTTTATTTGAAATACAAGCAAAGTAATACAAAACAAGGAAATTTTTGGCTTTTAATTCTTTTACTGGCTTTCCCGTTAACTCGGCACGACGACTCCAAGCATCTGCAACTTTCTTTTTATTTTTATGATTAACGTCTTTGGGATTCCTGATAGACGATTCGGTCTGGTAATATTCCAGAAACGATAAACTCTCTTCGTTCGAGCAGCCACTCATTTTAAAAAAAGAACTAAACATGCGCTCGTCGCGAAATTACAATTTCTACTAAACGAACCCTTCAAGCGAACCGTCGAGTACTATACGGACAGAAAAACACCCGTGTGTGCATATTTTCTAGACTTGTCAAAAACCTTCGATATGGTGTCCTATTAAATAAATATTGTGGAGTAAGTTGAGGAAAACCGAGATGCCCGTTGAACTTATCGCGATGTTTGAGTATTGGTACAGCAATCAAATAAATAGTGTTAAGTGGGCATACGAGTTTTCTCATCCGTACGGACTAGAATATGGAGTGAGACAGGGGGGTTTAAATTCACCAAACCTGTTCAGCCTGTATATTAATAACTTAATTGGTGAGTTGAGCAGCATGTATATAGGATGCTATGTAGATGGAGTATGCTTAAACAATTTAAGTTATGCAGATGATATGGTGCTGCTTGCTCCGTCTGTCAGTGCTCTTAGAAAATTGTTACGTGTTTGCGAGAATTATGCTGTTAGACATGGTTTAGTATACAATGCTAAGAAAAGCCAGTTTATGGTTTTTAAAGCTGGAAATAAGTGTCCGAAGTATGTGCCTCCTATTGTGCTTAATGGTACTGCTCTAGAGAGAGTAAAACAGTTTCAATATTTAGGCCACTACATTACTCAAAATTGTAAAGATGATATGGACATCGAGAGGGAGCGAAGGGCACTGTCGGTCCGTGGAAATATGTTGATTCGTAGGTTTGCACGGTGTAGCAACGAAGTCAAGATTACACTTTTTAAAACCTACTGCCAATCTTTTTACGCATGCAGCTTATGGACAACATATACAAAGCGCGCTTACAGTGACCTTCGTATTCTATATAATAACATTTTCAGAGCCCTGATGGGGCTGCCTCGCTTTTGTAGCGCATCAGGTATGTTCGCAGAAGCAACAACAGATGCCTTCTTTGCAATAATGCGTAAACGAGTATACCCCCTGTTGAGTAGAATGCGTGGCGTCCGCAACAGTATTCTGAACATGTTCGCCGAACGATGTGACGGGCATATGCTAAGTCACTGGAACAATGTATTAAAAAGTAATTTTACATAATATGTGAGAACAGGTATAGCGAAGGTGTTGATTGCTTTGATAGTATTTCGAGAATATAGTTGCGTTTTCAGAATTGTGTTTAGTCTATGTTGAAATTAAATTATTAAAGGCGACCGCTCAGACCCATCCAACTATAGGCCTATCGCGATCACCTCCTTGTTCTCCAAAATAATGGAATCCATTATTAACTGCCAGCTCATCCGGTACCTTGAGGATCACCAGCTGATTAGTGACCGCCAATACGGTTTTCGTCGGGGTCGATCAGCTGGTGATCTTCTGGTCTACCTGACCCATAGATGGGCGGAGGCAGTAGAGTCCAAGGGGGAGGCGTTGGCCGTTAGTCTGGACATTGCGAAGGCCTTCGATCGGGTTTGGCACAAAGCGCTTCTTTCGAAGCTCCCTTCCTATGGGCTTCCCGAGAAATTGTGCAATTGGATCACCAGCTTCCTTGCAGATCGGAGCATCAAGGTCGTTGTAGACGGTGCATGCTCTGACTACAAGCCTATTAACGCTGGTGTTCCACAAGGCTGTGTGCTATCACCAACGCTGTTTCTTCTGCATATCAATGATATGTTGCTAACTAGTAACATTCATTGCTATGCGGATGACAGCACTGGTGATGCTCTATACACCGGCCGTGCCAATATTTCTCGGGAAAACGTCGCTAAGTACCGGAACAAACTTGTGTCTGAAGTCGAGTCTTTGCTGAACAAAGTCTCGGATTGGGGGCGACTAAATCTAGTCCAATTTAATCCTCAGAAGACACAAGTTTGCGCGTTTACCGCTAAAAAGAACCCCTTTGTCGTATCTCCTCAGTTTCAAGGCACTCCCCTTCTTGCCTCAGCCAGTATCGATATCCTCGGAGTCGACATATCGAGTGACGTGCAGTTTCGTGGTCACTTGGAAGGGAAGGCCAAATTGGCCTCTAAAAAGCTTGGCGTACTCAGCAGAGCGAGACAGTATTTCATGCCGGCACACCGCCTGCTACTTTACAAGGCACAAGTTCGGCCTCACATGGAATACTGTTCCCATCTCTGGGCAGGGGCTCCCCAGTGCCAGCTCCTTCCACTTGACCGCATCCAACGCAGAGCGGCTCGAATTGTCGACGACCGAGCCCTTTCCGATCGGCTCGATTCATTGGAACTGCGAAGAGATGTTGCATCCCTTTGCATTTTCTTTCGCATCTACCATGGGGAGTGCTCTGAGGAATTGTTCGGATTAATCCCAGCCGCCAAATTTCACGAACGCACATCGCGGCAGAACTCCCGATACCATCCACACCATCTGGATGATTGGCGGTCCACCACTGTGCGATTTAGAAGATGTTTTCTTCCTCGCACGACCTCCTTGTGGAATCGATTACCATCAGCGATTTTTCCGGACCGATACGACTTAGGGACCTTCAAGAAAAGAGCGTACTCCTTTTTAAAAGGCCGGCAACGCATCTGCGATTCCCCTGGTGTTGCAGTTGTTCATGGGCGGCGGTAGTCACTTACCATCAGGTGAGCCGCATGCTCGTTTGCCCCCTCTCCTATATAAAAAAAAATTGTAGTGTTAATTTTTGTTTGGTTTCTTTATAGTGTATCTGTCGTGATTATGTGTAGCCAAGGTATTTATAACTATCTTGTTCCTCTAATGGTTCTATCTGTTCTCCTGTTCCTAAAGAGTATTGGTGTTGGTAATTCTGTCCTGCTCTAACTGAATTTATTTTACATTTATCTATGCCGAATTCCATTTTGATATCGTTTGAGAATTATTCTGTCCAGTTTGCTAGTTCACAGAGTTGAGTCTCACTTTTGGCGTATAGTTTGATATCACCCATGTACAACAGATGATTTAATTCTATTGTTTGAATTTCATTTTGTCATTCGGTAGTTGTATTTTTTAACGGGATTCCTAAAGTAGTTGCGTTTAATATATTAGATAGGGGATTTAGAGCAAGACTGAACCACAGTGAGCTTAAAGCATCTCCCTGAAAGATCCCTCTCTGAATTTTTATTGGGATGGTTTCTACTATTTTACTGGGCGAAGTTAGTCTTAATACAGTGGTCCAAGTTGTCACCATGACCTTCAGGAATGTTACTATAGTTGAATGTATTTTGTATATCTCTAAAACTTTTACAAGCCATGAATGGGGAACAGAGTCGTATGCTTTTTTGTAGTCAATATACATGCTAAACAAATCGGTTTTGGTTTTTTGTACTTTTTGAAGGATAACTGAGTCTATGATTAATTGTTCCTTGCAGCCTTGGCTGAATTTGCGACATCCTTTGTGTTGTTCGGCTAAGATATTATTAGTGTCAATGTGTTGATATATTAGTTCAGATATACAGAATGTGATTATTTTGTACAAGGTCTGCAAGCATGTTATTGTTCGGTATTTTGCTGAATTTGAGAGATCATTACGATCTTTAGGTATTATAAAAGTTGTACCTGAAGTTACGTAGGACGGTATTGTTTTAGGATCCTGTATGAAAGTATTTATTTAATTATAGAGAAAACTATGGGTAGATATAAATTTTTTATACCAATAACTACGAATGTTGTCTGAACCGGGTGCTTTCCAATTATGTAAACGAGAAAGTACTTTATGGAAAATTACTGGGGATATGTGATCAAATGTCATTGCTTGAATATTTGTGTTGCTGTTTGTCAGTTCTGTTTGTATCCACTCTGTTTGGGCGTTATGTTCGATAGGTTGTTCCCAAATTCCTGCCCAGAAGTTTTGTAATGTCTCTGAGTCAGGGTAGTTATGATCATCATAATTATGGTTGTTATCCTGAACGTTAGATGTCGCCTGTCTAATATTGCGGTAGAAGAGTTTTTCATTGTGGGTGAATTGAGTGTTTTGTAGTTTTCTTTGTATCGTTGTAGTCGGCCTGCTACTACTGACAGTTTTTGTTTAAGCGTGTCTAATGTGTGAGCTGCTTGTTTATTTGGTTCTTCATGAGTAGTGTGGATTCTATATTGTTCTAGTACCTTGTTAACGTGTTTAATTATTTTCCTACTTCTATTGCCATTGATGAATTGTGTCATTTGTGCTATCTTTGAACGTAAATCATTTAATTTTCGTTGTAATCGTGTCTCCCAATTAGGTTTATATTCTTTTTTTGCCCTTTAGGTGACTTCTCTTGGTTGAAGGGTTATC